TCCAAGAAAACTGAACCCACAGGTTGTTATACACAATAGTGTGTTCGTTTGTACAACTAGGCATGCAAATTTACTAATAGTGTTTTACCATCACCATAAGTGTAACCACCGACCACACAATTTCCTTTTATAGAAGAAGGATATAGAAAATAATACTTTATGCTTTTGAGAACACCTTTAACTTTGGATAGAGTTTAACTGTACATAAAATCCTACAAAATGCTTCAAGCTTTTGAGAACATCTCTAACTTTGGACAGAGTTAAACCGTACAAAACATCCTCTAAACTACTCGCACCTGTGAATAAACACAAGAGTTTGTTCGTTTCTACAGCTAGGCATGCAAAAATACTAATAGAGATTTACCATCCTTACGAACACATCGACACAATTTAGATCATTTAGGACACGGACTTCCGACCTTGCCTGTCAGGGTCATCACAGGTTGAGAGGGGTACACCCGGTACAACATCCCTGCAGAAAGACCGAGACGCTTGATGAAAATCTTTACCCTGTCGGGGATCGAAGTCAAGTATTCTGTATATGCGACAGCGAAGCACCTCAGCCCTACACCCCTGACACCGATAAAGAAACTTCGAAACATGCCCTATACTTTACGCTGATTATGTCCCATACTTTACGCTGAAAAATGTCCTATTTTTACTGTGAAACATATCCAGTACTTTAATTTAATTAAGTCATATACTTTACTTTGAAATATGTCCTATACTTTACGCTGATTATATCTCATACTTTAGGCTGAAAAATGTCCTATACATTACGCTTAGAAAAATGTCCGATACGTTGAAACATATCATATACTTTATGCTTAAGCATGTCCTGTACTTTACACTGAAACAATGCCTATACTTTACGCTGATTATGTCGTATACTTTACGATGAAAAATGTCCTATACTTTACGTTGAAAAATGTCCTATACTTCACGCAAAAAAATGTCCTATACATTACGCTTAGAAAAATGTCCCATATGTTGAAAAATGTCCTATACTTTACGCTTAAGCATGTCCTGTACTTTATGCTGAAATGTGTCCTATACTTAACACTTTCTTCTCTTGTCCTCTTATACCACGATGTATCAAGGAGATACAAGTGTGCAATCGTAGGACGTGGGCAGGTGGTTTTGTAGTTTGGATCGTCATGCTGTTTCTTCGGATCGTCTAAAACGTGTCCTATTGTATGAAATGATGATTGCAGCCTACATCATAAATAGTATAATTTGTGTCTATGGGAGTGTAAAGTATCTACATATTTTTGTTACTCTCCTCCGTCTTCCCCCCCCCTCTCTCTCTCTCTCTCTCTCTCTCTCTCTCTCTCTCTTTCTCTCTCTCTCTCTCTCTCTCTCTCTCTCACTCATTCTCCCTTCTTTCTCTTTCTCCCCCTTTCTCTCGCTCCCCCTTTCTTCCCATTTTTCAAGCACGCTTTCGTACTTCTCTCTCTCTCTCTCTATCTGCTCACACTCTCTCTGAGCTCTTTCTATCTCTCCATTTCCTTCCCTCTCCCTATCTTGCTCTCTGTCCTTCTCTCTCCACCCCCCTCTCACTCCTCCTCTCTCTCTCTCCTTCTCCTTTTCTCTCTACCCCTCTTTCTCTCATTCCCTTGTCTCCTCTACCCCTCTCTCTCCCTCTTCTCTCTCCTCCTCTCTCTATCTCATTCCCATTCCCCCTCTACCCTCTCCCCCCCTCTCTCCCCCCTCTCTCCCCCCTGTCTCTACCCTTCCCTCTCCTCTCCCCCTCTCTCCCCCTCTCTCCCCCTTCCCCCTTTCTCCCCCTTCCCTCTGTCTCTCCCTTTTTCTCTCTCCCCACTATCCCACTACCACTCTTTGCTTTTTCCTCCTCTCCCCTCCCCCTCCTTTGCCCCCTCCCCTTTCCGTTCCCCTCTCCTTCCTCCCCCCCTCTCTCCTCATACCTCTCAGCTCAGCGTCCATACCACTTGACGTAACATCAAGACGTTGCACAAACCGGAAGTAGCCTATTTCTTCTCTAGTGCTAGGGTTGCGACTTGCGTGGAAATGATCACGTCTGCCATTAGTACTTAACCCTTTCCGTACGTTGGGTTTTACTATCGTATCCATACGACGAGGAGAAACTCTGTGTCACCATTTTCAAAGACGAAATTCACTAGTTATTCTGATCCGTAGGCATTGCACAGCAGTCTGTCAAAATGCTTTTTTGAGAAATACTGAAAGTTTCAAAGAGATCTTCGTTCTAGAAGTATTCTAAAATGTGAAAAATACAACCCCTGGGGGTACAAAATGACCCCAGTGGGTACTGACAGGGTTAACAAAACCCACCCAAATACTCTTCTTATCTTAAGGAAGGAACCAGATATCCAGATACTGGGAGTATTAATTGTGTCACGATGCGGCGGAATCAAAAGTTTGTCAATGTTTGGGCATATTGAGCAATTAGTATTATCTGAAAGCTTGTTCGTTTTTCCTGCATTTGGCGACAAAACTACCCATCTTTTTGAAACAGAAGTCGAGATATTTGCTATAGAGGGAAGTGGTGGTCGCCTGGTGTCAGAGATAAAGTAAGCGAGTGAATGGTCACGAAAGTTTGACCTCTTCAAAAGCTTGAGTGATCTAGGAAACTGGATATTCACATTTTTATCGCCCCTTTGATCATCGTTTATCTGTGAAAATCCACAAATAAATGTGTTATTAAATGAATATAAATGTGTTGAGCCTAACAAAAAGGAAATCGAAACAAAAAATGCCCCTCGATCCGAAAAAATGCCGACTTCTTTCATCTGATTACTTTGACAAGCGCCTGATTTCACAACGCTGCCTTCCAATTGTTAAATATTGGTAGAAGGCATTTTATGCTTACTTTCCCTCTACCAATACCATCAAGTACATGAAGCTTAAGCCCTCTCACAATTCTTTTCCTACGTAAATGAATGTTTTTTGAAAAACGAAATAATCAATCGAAACGACAAGACTAGTTCAGAATCTTCCGCCTCTTGTGCACGCACTGAACACACGAATTTTTAGTTTTAGTAGAGGGTTTTACGGCGCTCGCAACTGCATATTAAGGTCATATGAGAGCCAGCACACACACACACGAATTTGATCTTTTATCCAATCACTAATTTGATCTTTTCTCCAATCACTGTTATCGTTGCTTTCAACGATAGTAACCTAACAGTCAACGAAATGTCTCCAGGGCTCAGCAAATTCCTAAAGTTCCCACAACCTTTTCCTGGTGAAACTCTTCATGTAAGAAGGTAAAATATTAAATAAAAGAACTCGCTAAAACAGTAGGCTAGCAGAGAGCATGGCACATTTTCCTCACAAGCCAAGTAACCAACACGCTTATTTAAGACTCGTTAGATTAGAAATGTTGTGATTTCTACAACTAAACATACACAGACAAAGACGCACATGTCTCGACTTTTTTTCTGAACTGAGGAAATCTTACCATTGAATTCAACTCACACAAGGATCTAACTAAGAATTCTATTTATAATCTCTTTGACCCACGGTAAAGAACTTAACAGATCTCCACCACACACAGACATCATCACATCACCCAGTGCCAGATCTGCGACAAACATCGGCGATCATGGTTTTCCATTCATTCCTTTGCTCGGATGCTCTAAAAAAAGCTACGTTTCCCTGATCTATCCCTGTTACCCATTTGTTTATGTTCCCTAAGTATGTTGTTCTGGGCCTACCCCTGCCTCGCTTGCCCTCAATTTTGCCAGTGAGAGCTAGATGTTCAAGACCCTTATGTCTATTCAGATGTCCCAGAACCTGCATTTGTCTTTTCCTGATTGTTTTTAAGATTGAGCGTCCCACGTGGGCTTCATCAAGCACACACAGACACCGGCCCAAAAACATTACAGGAAAAAAAGAATTAAGAGCTACCAGAAGCATACTTTAACTAATCGCTTGAACTGCCAATGACAGTAGGTGGATCAAAATGTGGGCGGGGCTCCGAAAGGTACTAATAACGGCATAGGATGTAACCATCCATTAATGACGTTGCCCGTAAAAAAAAAGAACTGAAGGGAAAAAACTATGCCAAAAAACGAGCACAAGCGTGAGTCTAACACCGTTTATTACATTCACGGGGGCCTTTTGAGATATATAATATTCACACAAAATCACTCTCTCTCTCACTCTCTCTCTCTCTCTCTCTCTCTTTCTTTCTCTCTATCTCTCTCTCTCTCTCTCTCTTTATCTCCCTCTCTCTCTCTCTCTCTCTCTCTCTCTCTCTCTCTCAAGCACATCATATACAGACACAAATGAACACACATACACTCATGCATGATTATACTCATGTAAAATATGTAACAAATATATAAAACATAATTCATGTATGAATAATGTGCCCTTAGGATGTATTATATATAACATCCTATATCGATAATTATAATTATAATAATACTGATATTTACACAACTAATAAAATAATAAAAACAGTAGTGATAGTGATAGTATTGTGACAATAATATCATTAAAACGATTATACCATTTCATTATTAGATAATTGTTATTATTATTAATATTGGAGTAGTAACAATCAAACAAGCATATTATGCAAACTTTCTTTCTCATGATATTGAATGTCATTTGGGTGGGGAGGGGGGAGGGAGAAGTTATTTTGCGTGATATTTTTCTCTGGATACCTTCATCCCCTTCACCCTGCCTCCAACCCCACCCCCCACCCTATACAAAAACCCTCACGCATATGTACACACACACACACAGACACAAACGCGCGCACACACACACACACACGCACACACAAACACACGCACACACAAACACAACACACAACCACACCCAAACCGGCACACAATAAATATCGCGTACCTTCAGTAAAGAGACCGGTTTAATAGTAAATTTGAAAAAACAACAACAACGCAAACAAACAATAAGCAAATTAACCCCCCCCCCACGCTACCCTAAAACAAATAAGCGAAAAATACAACAAACAAACAAACAAACAAAAACAACAACAAAATTGAAACACAAAATAAGAAGTCAAATTTACTAAACTAAAACTAGAACAAATTTAATCATTCGATGTTTTGTCAGCACCAGCCGGGGCTCCAGAAACCATCGTATAGATTGGGGTCAGCTCCTGCAACTCTGCCAGGTCTGTGCGGCTCCACTTTGGTGGCGTTCAGTACCCGGTATCTAGCCAGCAGAGCTTCCAAGACCTCTGGCTTGTCCCTCGACAGGTCACGGCTCTCAGACGGGTCATCTGGGCACGGGGGAAAAGATAAGATAAGATAAGATAATACTTTATTATCACAGAGGGACATTTTTCTTGGCTGTATAGGACAATAAAAACACACGCAAGTATACATTTAACAAAAATTGAATTATAGATTTGTCTCATTAAAACTCAATATGAAAAGAGAAGTAAAGCTGACAAAATGTACATTCACATTATAAAATCAGATGCATCCTTCAACCACATGCAGGAATTAATTACAAGACCTTCTGGGTTATATAATATATAGATAACATCTCTTTGTTGTTTTTTTTATTTGTTGGTTGTTGTTTTTTGTTGTTGTTGTTGTTGCTGTTGTTCGTTTTTTTAATATATGTGTTTTTTACGCCCTCATCAATACTAGTTTTATATTTTCGGACGCAGGGTTTGACCCTAACCGCCAGGGTAAACCCCGGCTGAGAGGGATATAACATCTCAGCAAAAACTCCGAGATACTCGATAAATAATTTTGCCCAGTCGGGAATCGAAACCTGGTCTTTTGTGTGAGGCCCCAAAGAAATTTACTTGTTCTAATTACTCATGAAGTCGTATTCTGTAAGAAATTACGCGCCATACAACATAAATTAGATCATTTAAAGTGCAGTCAAAATTTCGAGGGGCAACTTATCCTCAAATAGCTTTTTAACTGGTGAATCAAAGTCACCCATACTTTGCACAGCAGATTGTATTAATTTGTCAACTAAATCCTATTTTTCCACGACAATTGGCGCTAGATTAAAAAGCGTTTCTTTACAAAGCTGTATAAAATACTTGAAATCTCTGCCACACACAAAATGGCATTGTTCACAGCCCTTCCCGCTTCTCACACACTCTTTGATTACGCACATTGGCTACGTCACAGCTCATCAATGACAATTTTTAGTGTTTCGTAACAAGAAATTAATTTTATAGTGAACGCATTTTTTTTACAAATGCTTCTCAAAATATGCGTTCTATAAGCATAATGTCGGGATTAGAAAAACCATGACAAACATACCATTATTAATTAAAAGCAATATTGCCCCACTTGTAAACATTTAAATAATCTCTAGAAACCACCCACTTGGATTTTTAAAATTAGTATTTATTAAGGAATTTTCTAGAATATAGCTAATAATAATAGCATTTGTATAGCGCAAATCCCCGCTCAATAGCAAGCTCTATGCTCTTTACAATATATACTATATTACCCCAGCAGACCTGAGAGCAATCTGAAGCAAACTCAACTTCCTTGGAAGCATACAGTGCAAGCAGCCATATATAGGCACTAAAACACTAACATACTGACAAGATCTTTCGCTGTCTATGGCCGGTTACCCATTTCCACCTGGGTGAAGTGAGGAAAATTCATGTAAAATGCCTTTCCCAAGAACACAACGTCGGGCCCGCAGCTCGAACCCCCGACCCCGCAACCTCTCGATTACGAGTTTGCTAGCCTATATAACCACTTTGCCACCGACGCTAGCAGGTGTTTACAAAAGTGTTGATCTGTTAAGAAGAAATTGTTACAAGTAATTGGGCAAAAAAAATAATTGAGAACCTATGTTCCATATAGTTGAGAAGATAATCCTATTTGACATAAAGTTCCTTCGACTTCCCCCGTCGGGGCCAACCCGGACTCGGCGGGATACACTGCCCCAGTACACAGACTGAGTTACTCAATTATTATGATTATGA